CCTGAGCTGAGCAGCTGCTGAGCTGCCAACAGGTGGTAGGATGGCTCAGCTAAAAAAAAAAAAAAACACAAGACATAGCAAGAGTTGGATTGGGGTGCAGAGGGGGTGTGAATTTTTGTCTTTTTGTGGATTCATTTCAGATTGGTAAGTTTCCCTGTGGTGTGGTTTTGCTGTTGCTAGTTTACTTCATTCTGGAAAATACTGAAGCGATGGAGTGAACTATACAGGTCACGGGTGCCCGCTTCACTGTGTTTGCAGGAGATGATTGAATACAGATGTCTTTGGTGTCCATGTCTTCATTTGTAGAATTGTCCCGCTAATGGAGACATTGAGGCATCACGTGTGCAGGAATTTCTACAGAGATACTTTATGTACCTAATCCAGAGATGCCTGTTCTGTTGGTTTAGATGTACAGCAATAAATGTATAGTAACAGTAAGAGGATGTGTCTAGATGGCTGGACCTGTTTTGTTTAAGTAGTTAGCATCAGTAAACGAGTAAGATGAGATTTTAATGCAAAGCTGTTGTTCATGATTTTTGTATATAGTGAGCTGACTGTAGTATGTTACTACTGTTTGTTTTAGAAAAGAAAAACTTATTTATATTTACTTGGAACTTTATTGTGTTTACTTGGCACGGATCGTGAGTGTGCACGTGTGTGTGTGTGTGTGTGTGTGTGTGTGTGTGTGTGTATTAGAATACAGACCATCTAATTCAGAGTTTTAAAAAAGCAATTGTTTGTCTTTACTAACTCGGCCATTAATTTGAGATCTGATTTTCCACATCTGTATGTCTGATGTCCCTGTAGCTTAATAATAATAACAGCCAACATTCATTGGGGGTTTACTGTGTACTAGGCACTGGTCCCAACAGTTCATATCTATTATCTCATTTCATCCTTTCAGCAACACATGCCATAGACACTATTGTCATTAAGTGTCTGATGAATGGGAAATTCAGGTAGAGAGCTTAGGGACTGGGACAGGGTGGCAGAGAGAGCCAGGATTGCACTCCCACTTCCAGCAGTCCGTCCTCTCCTTGTTCCATCTGGTGACATGTCCCAGAGCTTCAAGCCTCTGAAGGGAGGACTGGACACCTGCAGACAGCAGCAGGGCTATGTTGAGTGTCAGAAGAAGTTCCAGGCTGACCTTTACTGGGGGAACAGAGGTGGGGGGAGCGGCATCTGCAGCAGGTAGGATAAGGTGTGTGATACATGACACGATGCTTAAACGAATCTTTAGAGCAAGTGGCAGGGTCAGCCCTGCCACGGGTGAAATAGCAGCTAAAGGTAGCTCAATATGAAAGATGTATCTAAAAAAGAGATTTCAGAGTGTTTTCAGAAAAATCTCAGCTGTGTACAGTAGTCTTACTGAACTGTTCAAGAATTATTAGATGTGACCTCTTGTGCACAGAAGACTGTCTTGTATAGGCTGCGAGGGAAAAGTAGAGGGGAAATGAGCACAAAACTTACCTGAATTTTATGGAATGGGGTTGGCGTGGACATCAGCTATGTAATATTTAAATGAACTGTGACAACTGCAAATACAGCTGAAGACAAAATGAATGAATTATCATTGCCTTTTCTAGGATGAGATCAATTTGGTCATTGTCATTGTCATTTGTCATTATGACTATAGAGGGTAAAGTGGTTTGGGACACATTCCATGGGATATAGTTAAGTGTAGGCCTGTGTTTTACAGTTAATTTCCAAAGTCTATTATCATCAGTGTCATCTCATCTGTTTTAATGATTTGTACACACTTTTTCTCTCAGCAAAAACATAGCCTTGTGTTTCTAGGGCATCACCTTATGGGAAGAATTACTATAAAAATATCTTTAAGGTTAGCTAAGGTGAAGATACTATCTTCTATTAAATTATCCTGCTCTAGCCAATACTCATTTTTGAAATTACAATAGTCAAGCTTTAGAAATGTGTTGGGGGGAAAAGACAACTAACTACATGATTAAGGTTTACTTTACAGAGCAAAGCTTTCCCCTCATGTAATTAAAAAGTCTTTTTTTTTTTTAGTGTCAGGTGTACAAAGCAATGTAATAGACATTTACACCCCTCACATAGTGATACCCCTCCCCTGCAATCTACTACCCCTCTGACTTAAAAGAAGTGTCCGCGTTCTGCCTCGCGACCACAGCGTCCTTAGCAGCAGCAATAGACGTCAACAAAGGCTGTGACTGCTGGGACCCTGACTACGCCCGGGTGGGCGTTGTGCGAATAGTGGAGGAGGGTTAGGTGGATGATAGTGGCGGCAGCTTGAACTGCGGCAGCTCGGCTGGGGAGACGGACAAGTCCCCGTGAGCCGGCGGTCGAGTTGGTCAGCCTAGCACCTGGATCCTCTGTCGCTGTCCTCTGCTGGGCTTCTCAGTAGATACCGTGATATACACGGAGGAGGTGGTCCGCTAGGGGCTGCGGGAGCGGAGCCAGGTGCTCGGCTTCTGTAGCCCCCACCGCCTTGTGTGCCGCCAGCGCACGTTTTGTCACAACTGTGCTGGCAACCTCGCGGTTCCCGGTGTGACTGTGCCCCAGTGTGGGCAGCGCTGACGGACTTTTGGGTTGGGGTCTTTAAGGCGGCTGCCTCTGCTTTACCCGCCCGTTAGCGGGAAGCAGCGGAGGCCCAGCCATGGCTTCGGGAGCAGGAGGAATAGGAGGGGGCGCTGGCGGCGGCGGCGGTGGCGGCAAAATCCCGAGGAGGCGTTGCCACCAGCGGTCAACTGAGCCTTACCAGCAAGGTCGGCAAAGGCCCCAGGTACTAGACACACAGACTCCCTGGTGGTTTAGCGGGTCGGGAACCAGGCTGGAGGGAACTGGCAGTGAGGGGCCCTGGAGTCCCACGTGTATTCAGTAGGAAAATGTTAACTTATTTCAATAAAAATCTCTTACAAAACTCAATGATACTAAGTTGGGGAGTAAGTGTGTGGCTTAAACTTGTTAGAAAACAAAAGTATAGCAAAAGGGCCTGAGAACTTGTATACTCTTAAAAGTAGACTTCCTAGATTGCTTTATTCTGGATGAACATGTTTGCTGGTGTTAAATTGTAACATTAAAAAAGAACAGCATTTTGAAAGTAAAGATTTTGGGGGAATTTTTAAGAGTAAAATTGTGGTTTATAATATTAAGTAGCTTCCTATTAATGGTTACAAATCTTGGCATTACTGTGAAATCCTACCAGTGTTCTGCCTGATACATAAAGTGCTTGGTTTTCATATTTCTTTTTTAGGAACAGGGGTACTTGCAGGCAGATTTAAGATTAGAATTTAAATCACAAGCCTGGCCATTTAACCTAAATCCTTTTGTAGACACACATACTTTTTGTTTTTCCTGAAGAATAACTTTCTCTGCCTCTTAGATCTACTTAAAAGAAAGTTACTACATAAGAAAAGGAATTGTTTTAAATACAGATCATTGGATGGTCTGGAAAGTTTAGAAAGGAGCTAATATATTCCAGATGGGAAAAGTTATAATGTGTTGTTGTTTTTTTAATGTACTCAGGTAAGACTCTAAATTTGGGGAGATGATGCCTTAAGATAACACCTATGATCCACATTGTCTTAGAGTTGATAGGATTTTAGGCTTTGTAGTTCTGTTTTAGAACTTGATAATTTATCAATTTACTTATCCAAATTCTTTCAACTTCTTGCCTCAGCCATTGAATTGTAAAAGAAAATAGATTTTTAGCTTTTGAATAGGGATTAAACATGTTTGGGGGTTTCTTGACCAACCCTGTGGGTGTTACTTCCTATTGGCAGAAAATAGCACATTAAAGTATCCAGGAATATACAGAAGAATCTCTATTTAATATGATAGATTCTTAATTCTGAAAATCAGGACTTTCCTTACTCTTTACGGGGACTTTTGTGGACTTACAGACAGACCACCTGCTCGCTGTCTACTCAGCTAACCAGAAACTTGGCTCTGGAAGACTACTACTATCTCCTGGTTAGAGGGAACTACTTATTTTTGGCCTTTTTTAGGGGGTGTGCTCCCCTGGTTTGGAGCTAAGGGAATCCAACATTTTATCTTCCTAGGTTGTAGTTTGTTTTACAAGTCAGTTCCTGCATTAGGCTGTTTGAAAAAGCGGGGAGGAAACCCCTTTATCTATCAGTAACTTAGACCAAGACTCTGCAAACTTTCCTGTAAAGGGCCAGATAGTAAATACTTTAGATTTGTTGCTGAAAGTTTTTTCCTTTGTTTTCACAACCCTTTAAAAAATGTAAAAATCATTCTTATCCTGAACCTGTGTAAAAGCCAGCCAAAGGCTGAATTTGGCCTACACCCATGAATTGCCCAAATAACACTGCTTTATACGGTAGTGTGAATTTTTGGTGGTGGTGGTGTTTTGCTGATTTGGTACCTTCTATATCAGAGGTCAGCAAATTGTAGCTTGCGAACCACATGCTACTCTTTGGGTACCTTCCACCTCAAAAGTTTGCCGACCCCTGGAAGAGCCAATCCTGTCCCTAACAATAATTTAAAAATTATTCAAGAGCCATAAATACATTTCACATAGTCACCATTATGTGACTAATATCCTTTAAAAATTTTATAAATAGGGCTGGCCGAGTGGTGCGTTGGTTAAGAGCTGGCTTGGAACGCCAGAGGGCCCTGGTTCGGATCTGACATATGAGGGCCAGTGACACTGCCCTCTACAGCTAAGATGCTGAACAACAGCTCGACCTGGAGCTGGGCTGCCATGAGTCGCCAGCGACGGCGTAGGCTGCAGTGGGTTGCCATGGGCTAGCGTGTGTGGCCAGCAGCCAGCGTGAGCAGCCAGCAGCCGCTGTGAGCGGCCATCCAGAAGTCGGCGAATGATCTGCCTCGCCCAGGAAGAGCTCAATGATGGTGCCAACTTGGGCCAGTAAAGCAACGTCCTCCACAACTAGACTGAAGAACAAAAGGACAGCAACTTGTGTATTCCCCTTCCCCCAGTTCCCCAGTGCTGTTCCCATCCCCCAATTCCCCTATAAAAATCTTTAAAAAAATAAATTTTATAAATAAAATTATGATAGTTTTATTTTCATTTTCAATTTTCCTTCAGAGGCACATGTATGTACCCAAAGAGCCACATGTGGCTCGCGAGCCGCAATTTGCTGACCCCTGGTGTTTATTTCGTTTCAAAAGTTTGCCGACTCCTGTTCTATTGGGTCTTCAGAATAGTCATGACATATTTTGTCTATGTTTTTTAAAGGTCATTTATTTATATAAAGAACAAAGATCAGGGCCGTCAGAGTGGCGCATTGGTTAAGAGCTGGCTTGGGATGCCAGTTCGGATCCCACATATGAGGGCCAGTGACACTGCCCTCTACAGCTAAGATGCTGAACAACAGCTCGACCTGGAGATGGGCTGCCATGAGTCGCCGGCGTCTGCATAGGCTGCAGCCCCTGCTGCAGTGGGTTGCCATGGGCTACCGTGTGTAGCCAGCATCCAGCGTGAGCGGCCAGCAGCCGCCATGAGTGGCCATCCTGTAGCTGGCAACTGATCTGCCTCGCCTGGGAAGAGCGCAATGATGGTGCCAACTTGGGCCAGTAAAGCAACATCCTCAACAACTAGACTGAAGAACAAAAGGACAGCAACTTGTCTGTTACCCTTCCCCTAATTCCCCTGTGCTGTTCCCATCCCCCCAATTCCCCAATTAAAAAATCTTTAAAATAAAAAAAGAACAAAGATCAATCAATGATATATTGCCCATTTTGTTCGATAACCTTTTGCCGCCTTTCAGTGAGCTTCATAATTCCTCTTTCATAGAAGGACCTGTCTTTATTTGCAAAAAACTGAACAAGTCGCTGATTTATAGCTTCATCTGAATTGTACCACGCAAGGAGTTTTGAAGACAGCAAAACAAGTGGAAGTCTGACAGCCCAAGGTCAGGTGAGTATGGTGGGTGTGGCAACACATTCCAACCAAGCTCCAAGAATTTTTGACAGGTGATCATACTTGTGTGTGGTCTTGCGTTGTCGCAATGGAACACAACTCCTTTACAATTAACAAGCTCTGGACGTTTCTGGATGATGGATTCATTCAAACTGTCCAATTGCCGACAGTACACATTCGAATTGATTGTTTGGTTCCTTGATAGGAGCTTGAAAAACACAACACCTTTAAAATCCCACCACCACACTGAGAGCATAACCTTCCTCTGATGAATGTCTGCTTTCGATGTCATTTGAGGCAAATCATCATGTCGGGACCAAGACTGCGCACCACATTGTTGTAAACAATCCACTTCTTATCACCAGTTATCAGTCACTTCAAAAAAGGGTCTTTTTCCTCACGTTTAATGAGCATATTGCATATATTTATATGTGCCGTGAAATGAATTTCTTTGAGTTCATGCGGAACCCAAATATCAAGCTTGCTTACGTGTCCCAGCTTCTTCAGGTGGTCATGAATGCTTGAATGACGCATGTTCAGTGTTTCTGCAATCTCTCATGTCGTGTAATGTGGGTTTGACTCCATCAATGCCTTTATTTTGTCATGAACCTCGATGGGCCTCCCTGACTGAGGAGCGTTGTTGACATCACGGAGCACGGAATTTCGTGAACCTTCATTGGCACTGACGTTCTTGTAGAGCATTGTCACCATAAACTTTATGCAACTTTTTACAAGCTTGACACGCGTTCTTCCCTTTATGGAAGTAAAACAGTGAAATATGGCAAAAATGCACAGTTTTGTCTTCCGTGTTCAACTTGTTGTAAAATCTCCAAATCTCAACCAAATCTCTCAATTTTTTTTAGAATGAAGCTAGAACTATCAGTTGTCAAATGACATAGAAATAACATAGATGCGAATGACTCTAATACTTCCGAAAATGAACTAAAGCAACCTGTTGCAAACATGCATCATTACTTTTCCAAAGACCCAATATATAATACTTCGTTTTAAATAAGTATGTCCTGCTTGGTATCTGATAACCAACGACTATTCTCAGTTTTAAAAAGGAGGGATATTTAGAGTTTGAATACTGAGAACTCATTCCAGAATTCACTAACTAGTTTTGACTTTTATCTTTATTTTCTTTATCCTAGATGTTTAATTCTATCCATAGAAATAGGAATGGAAAGAGTCAATAGGAAAAATGTACTCTAATGGAGTCAAGCACTTGGGTTTGAATCCCTGTTCTGCCAGGACTTGTAATAAACTTGTAAATAAATGCAAGTTATTTAATTTCCCTGAGCTTAATTTACTCATCTGTAGAGTGGAAATTGTTGTGAAGGTCAAATGAGATAATAGAAGTAAAGCCCTTAGATCAGGGCCAGGCATGTAAAGTAAGGACTCATTTGCAATGATTGTGATTAACTAGAACTTTTTGATTTACTGTTTTAATTGCCTGTGAAGTGTGCTGCCTCTTTCTAGAGGTTTTTCCTTTATTGAGCGTGGGTAGTTCAATCTTTTATAGGCTTATATTGGATTTAAGGATTTGTTGGCTGAGTGATGAGGCCAAACCATAAATTATTACTACTCTCTTAAATACTTACTTTTAACATATTTTCCTTAGAAACGCCAGTCATTTAAGTGTATAGGGAAATAAATCTAAGTATTGAGTTGTTTGAAGAAACGGAGTATTTTGCTTTGTGATGAGAGGCCCGTGTGTGTGATATTTTATGAATTTACCACATTTTCTAATAAGCGACAAAAAAAGCCCAGGTGTTGTTTCCATTTCCTGGAAAGTTCCCTAATGAGGCAGTTATCTGTTAGTTTTAAGTAAAATGAAGACTTTGGTCTGATGTTACTAATTAAACCATTTTTAATAGGCATAGCGTATTATTGGAATGATGTAATGACCTGTATTTTCAAAAATGTTTTTATCTGTAACTACTTAGTTAATGGTCATTGCCGTAACAGGTTTTTAAAAGGTTCTTCTGTGTTGGGAAGCCCAGTTGAAAGTCTCACCACCACGTACAATTTACTGTGTTTACTGTCAGAACAGGATAGTACAGTACATATTCCAGTTTGCTTGTCAGTTTGCTTGATTTCACTTATCTTTTCCATAGTATGATTTAAGAAATAAACTCTTACATCCATTTTCAAACAGATTGTGGATGAAAAGTGGCAATATCTTGTAGGTAACTTTGAGTAGGTTAAACTGCTTTGGACTTTTAGTGGTTCCCTGTTGTTAGCTTGAAGGTCTTTTAGGGACTCCTTTTCTTGTCCTTGTTGTTTAATTTCTGTTAATTGTCTATTAAACATATGGGTACCTAAAAATGAGAGACTAAGCCCGGTCATGTTTTTCCTTTATGCGTTCGTGACAGAATTTTGAAGGACGTGGAAATTTGTGGGCCATTGTGATTTTTAATTTTTTAGCCAGAGTAATTCTTATGCCCACATTTTTTGGCTCGATCTCTTGAAGTTGAGAAGGAAAATGAAAAGTGGATTTTTAGTGGCTGGAAGGATTGGGACTGGGTAGATAGGGAAAGCTTGGCTGCTGACTGGCACTCTGGGGGTTGTAAAATATGACAACTAATAGCTTAGATTTGTAGGTTAGATTCAGAGTATTTAAAGCTAGATTCAATATAACTGCAGTAGAATTTGAAGACTTCGTTACTTTTTTCCCTCAGGAAAATAACTGAGTGTTAAAGTCAGAATACAGATGCATTGTTAAAATAAGTAACGTTTGAATGGCTGTATTTTAAAACTGGCAATAACTGGAAGGTTACAATGAATGGCATCTAGGTTTCTAATCTAGATTAATGTTTAATAATAGATATTTTATTTATTTATTTATTTATTTATTTATTTATTTATTTATTTTTAGTTGGGGAATTGGGGAGGGGGACCAGCCAAGTTGTTGTTCTTCAATCTTAGTTGTGGAAGGCGCCATTTGACATCTGGCTGCCCATCCACAGCTTGTGGCCTCGAAGCTCAAGGTGCTGTGTTACAATCTTAGTTGTGGGCAGGTGTAGCCCACAAACAAACAGGCAGTTTTATTGTTAGGAACATGTGCCCTCACCAGCTGAGCCATCCTGCCACCTGTTGGCAGCTCAGTGGCAGCTTAGCTCGGACACAGCGTCATTGGCCCATGTAGGAATCAAACTGGTGGCCCTGTTGCTCAGAGCTCATGCTCTTAAGCTAACTCTTAACCAACTGAGCCACTCGGCTGGCCATATAGTAGATATTGTTAAAATCTCATGTGAAGTCTTGGGTTCTTAGCTCTTGTTCTTTACTTGGGCTTGGAGGGTGAAGGAGGAACACCGATTAGACTGGCTGTATGAAATAAAGGTTTCCAAAAGTTTGGAAAGGAGAGTCTGGTGACTTGGGAGTTCAGTGGGTCAGGAGAATGTGCATAGAGTCCTGGAAGAGAACTAAGGGTCAGTGACAGGCCCAGGGAAAGAAAGGCCGCTGAAAGAGCAGATAGAAATCACGACAGCTGTGTATCCTGGGGGAATGGGGCTCTAGAACCTGAAAGCTGATGATGGATTATGTTTGATATTTACAGTTAGAGAGGCAGTGAAGTTGTTTGAGAAAGGGGATTTCATAGTCTGAGGAGTAGTATTGAATTGAAGGTAATGTTAAGAAGAGAGTTGCACAGAACTGACGTCAAAAAAACTTGGATAAAGTATACACAAAATGGAATACTATTCAGCAATAAGAAAAGGTGAGATAGTACCATTTGCGAGAACATGGATGGATCCTGAGATTATTGTGCTAAGCAAAATAAGTCAGACAGAAAAAGTAGAGAACCATATGATTTCACTGATATGTGGTATATAAAACTGAAAACAACAAAACAACAAGACAAACAAATGAAAAAACAAAAACTCATAGACAGAGACCATAGTTCAGTGGTTACCAGAGGGTAAGCAGGGAGGGGCGTAGTAGATGAGGGTAAAGGGAATCAAATATATGGTGATGGAAAGACAACTGACTCGGATGTTGAACACGCTGTGTGATATATCAATGATGTATTGCAGAATTGTACACCTGAAACCTATGTAACTTTACTAACAATTGTCACCCCAATAAATTTTAATTTAAAAAAATAAAATAATATGAAAAAATAAAATACATCACAGTAAAGAAAAGAAAACTAGTAGGAATGGAGCACTCTATGTGAGAAGAAAAAAGGCTATATAGTGGTGATAAGGAAGGAGTTGGTCATATAGGAGAGATGTCTCTGGTTCTCAGATTACCAATTGGTGAAAAGATATACAGGAAAAGAATAACTTTTTCATTAGAAATGAGTTGTGAGTTAGGATTGTAGAAGAGCCTTGCCCCCCCACCCCACCCCACACACACCTCAGCCTTCTTTCTTTAAATCTTGAACTCGGGTGAAATGAAATTTGAAAAGCTAATGTACTCACAGTGCCTTAGATACCCAATGTGTTTAATATGTGTGTCCTTGACTTGATTTTACTTCGGGCCCCCAAATTGAGTACTCTAAATCTCAGTGGCGTTTTTGACGTATTTTTTCAAATGCAGATCCTTGGAGAGAAAGGACCCAATTGGTGTAAACAGCCTGAGTTTAAAGATTTGCCCCTTTAATCCTTGAATTTAACTTTATTACTTGTGATTATCTAGTTAGGGTTACAAGGAGTATTTCTAAGATTTTAATGCCCCATTCCTTTGTTGGTTTTTCTAAGTCCTTCATTAATTTAGCTTTTGGGGGCTGTCTTTCTGCTTCTTTTCATTTCTTTGGCTTTGATGGTTCAATTTTCCCAGGCTCATGGATATAGCTTCACATGTTGGTTTCTTGGAGGAAGGGTTATTAGTGTAGCAATAGAAATATTATTTGCTTAAGGTGAAACTATTACATCGAGCAAATGTATTCTTTATTTTAAATTCGAGAATTACTGATGTTCTTTTTGAAACGTGTCGTGGAATATTCATATGTGGGAATAAGAGGTTGGTTGAGCAGTGCAGTCATAGATAAATTCAAATCACACAGCAGCTAATCTGTGCACTGAACAGATCTGGTGTCTGCCCTCACAGAGCCGATGCTAGTGCAGGTGATGGACAGACTAAATTACCATCCTGTTTGAGAAATTGCCATCATGTGGGAAGTACAGGGCACTGTTGGTGCACATAAGGGAGGGACTGCCCAGTCTTGGAGGATCAGAGAAGGTTTTCTGCAGGAAAACTTCCATCCAGTTAGAGTGGTGGCAGTTCTGCTTACTTCTGAAGCCTCTGACAGTAGGGAGGAAGCTGATCTGGTAAAATAGGACTTGAGTATTCACTCCTTAGGACACAAAGATGAGATGTTCTTTGGTAACAGAGTCAAAGGAACCTTTTCTTCCATAAGGAAACGATTTTTCCCCTTTTCTAGCTCCCTTCACACTCAGTTTTCCATTAGTGGATGAAGTATGTCTTTGGTGTTTCAAAACTCTTAAAAAATTGGCAGGCAGGGAAATACTTCTCCAGATTTATTTAATAGAGAGGGTCTCTTACCTCTTTATGGTCTCCACCCAATTCTGTGCATAATCGGGAGATTTCGTTTTTCCAACCTTTTTAAAAATTTGAATACTTGGTAGTTGATTATTTACTATGAGTGTGTTAAGTCTTTACAACTGGAAATAAAATAGTTTCAAAGATAGATTTTTATGTTTACTTCTGGTTGATATTTCAGAGTTGATATGATATCATGAAGTAGCTATTTATAAAACTGAGTGTAATGGTCTGATGTGTTTGATAATCATGGAAATAGGGTTGTCGTTTACGTAAAACTTGGTTGTAGTTAAGCTTATACTCAGGGTTGTTTACTCCGGCCTTAATTGGGATCACAGTTACTGAGTTTGTAGAGGATTTTAGTACAGTGGTCCTCAAACTTTAATTTGCATAAGAATCACCTCAAGAGCTTTTGAAAACAGACAGATTTCCATTTCTAACATGGTCAAGGTGACACTAAAGCTGCTGATCAGAAGATTCCAGTGTGAGGACCACTGTGGTGGTCCTTTTACGGTTACTCTCCCTCTGTATATGTATATACATGTATATATATATATATATATATATATATGCTATAGAATAAATGATCACACATAGATTCTCACAAGTACACGTGCTTACATACACATGATTAAAGGGAAATTTTGAAGAATTTCAATGATTGTTTAAAGTTTATTACATTTTGCGTTCATTAAACAGTTACCAGCAGGTTGGTTAGCATGTACCAAGGGCACTCCTGTATTTGAGTTTTTGCACTTTTTTGTTCCCTGATATTTAATACATCACTAGAAGTTTGCATGGCTCCTTCTTCACCTTTCTCAGGTTTGGCTGATGTAAAATAGCTATCCCATTTGGCTTCCCTGCCTCATTCTTACCACCGAATGATGATGATATATATTATATATTATACTGATTTGTCTTTCTAACTTAGAATGTAAGCTGCAAGAGGGCAGGAACTTGTTTCCTGCCGTGTCCCCAGTGTTCTGTGGCTGACATGTAGTATGTGACCAGTAAGTATTGACTAAATGAGCTGAGTGAAGAAAATCATTGTCTGCCATTAACATCTATGATTGAAATAAGATTCTAAAATAGTCCCCCAAGCAAAGCCTGTCTTGTGGCCTATTTATGTACTCTTTACAGAGGTAAAGGTTGGATGTAACTTTGGGGTACTATGAGTGCTGCCCTAAGCATGGTCCATATGTTCCATTGTTGATAAAGTACATGAGTCTTGCTGATTCATGGACTATTTAATTTTCATGTTAATCATACAAAAAATGACAAGTAGCACTGCTGTATCAAAACCTCAGGGACCCAGCAAGAAACAGTTCACTCTGGATGGTGTAACGGAAATGTCTTTTAAGAGAGTTTACTTGTAGGTATGCTGATGGTTAAAGGAATAAATACGGGGTGACAGGAGGCCCAGAGACTAGCAATAGCAGAAGCTACTACCATCCCTCAGACTGGAATGATAAAGGAAAGAAATGCTGTCACTGCAGTGGAGGAGGGGCCACCTGGCCTGAGCTGTAGTTTTAGATACATGGCACTTAAACAGAGAGGGCACACAGGAAGAAAGACCTCACTGTCCTCCCATCCTCAAATGTCTGGTATCTGTCATAGTCCAGTCCTGTCAGAAGCAGTTTGGTGGGACAGCCTATCAAGAATGGAGTGAGGAATGGGCCTGTGAAGACCAGCACAGCATCAATCTGTGACTTGATAGATTTTATTTTGTAGGAAAAGATAAATTTATGAAGAGAAGTGAGTGGATAGAAAGGAAGTCAGTAAATAATAGTACAGGTAACAGTCATGGCTAACCTTTGAAAAATGCTCAGGAAATAGTGCTGTAAGCCACACTGTATTCTGTACAGTCCACTGTATAATTTGTTTTGCTAATTCATTTTACAGTACGTATTTTATTATGATAGATTTTAATGATTGTTTGACTAGTGCTCCACATTATATGTTTGGCAGATAACTTAATCTTAATAAGAATTTTAAGTATGTATAATAATATTCACCTCTTGTATAGGGACTTTTTCCCTGAAATAAATGTAATTTCATTAAATATATCTAATTTCCTAATCTCTTTAACGAGAATAGTGGTTCTGAAATTTTAGCACCCATGAGAATCACTTGGGAGCGTTTGTTCAACAGGACAGCCCTACCTCCTGAGTGTAGTAGGGCTGGAATAGGGCCTGAAGTAATGCTGATATTACTGCTAAAGGGAGCACACTTGGGAAACCACAAGTACTGCTACTCGGGTATTCTGAGCTTAGTTGACCTTTTCTTGATGACTTAGGGCCACTTTCCCTGATTTCCCAGAGGTACACTGATGTATAGGGATGATTGCTTTCTTACAATGGCTCCATGTCAGTTTTATCATCCGTATTTCCTTTTGCTGTGGAGCTCCTGATACTGTCATTCATTGTGCCACTAGTAACAACTCTGTCTCTCTCACTGTAATTCCTTGTACTCAGCTGCTGTGGGCTGAGATAGATCCATTGGTTAGATTTTAGTTAAGAAAAGGGAAGGTCAGCAAGCAACGTTCATGAGCTTTAGGGAATGAGCTTTATTATATCTATTTTCATGGTTCAGTTTTGTTTGCTGATTATTCTCCACAGAAATCTAACGCTGCCCCAGAAGTGACCTTTGGTTAAGTATGGTGTTGATTTTAAGTGTGTACTTGCCTCAGGTGAGTAGGGATGCAGGCATCTCTGATACTTGTAGCAGCTAAACACCTTAGAGGAAGTCCACAACACTTAGTTTACACTACAGTCTTGCTGTAGTGTTTTATCACTTCATATCAAGTATGTGTCTTACATTTTCCAAGCCTTATTTAAACTGTGTCATATGTTGGAAGCACCTTTGAGTCTTTTGAAATATGGGAGGGGTAAATAAATATTTAAGTATAAGTAGTAGATAAAGATATTATAATATGTACATTTTGTAAATATTAAATCTTGGATGTAGGTATATAATGTCCAAAGTAGCTAATACTATAGCATAGGAAAGGGGAACAGCAGAGTTGTTTTTCAGTAGTGAGTTGGCTTAGGGCTGTCGGCTTCTGTGTCCCTAGAGAGCTTACATCATAGATCTGTTTACAATTTCTGTTTGAACAGTATTTTGGAAAATAATTATATATCTCCCAGTTGTTACCTACAGCTTTTTAAACACTGAGGAAAATACTAACTCAGGTGCCTATGTCAGAGGTGTCTTCAAGGCTTCTTTGTGTTGGGTTTGCTTTCATGGATGATTTATGTATTCTGCCTTGGCTTAATTGTTTTTTTGTACCTGCCAATTCCTTTTTTCTCCTCCCGTGATTCTCTGAAATCCTACTAATGTACTTTAGGAAGGAAATTGTTGCCTATCCTTTGTTACCACATTGCAATTTGTTTCTCTAACTTCGCCCTCTCCCTCACTCGTAATAAAATCTCTAGTATGCCGTTTCCGTTATATTTTGTAAATTGCAAAGTGTTTTCACATTATTTCATTTTCTTCACTATAAGCCCTATCAGGTAATAGCAGGAGGGGATGTTTCACCTAGAGTAAATCAAAGTATAGGAGGCAGTACTCAAACCTCACCGAGGTCCTACCAATCCCCAGCCATGCTTTTACTCCATCCTAGCTACATCATCGGAGTTCTGTTTGTAAGTTTCAGCTTCATTGTCTCTTCATCTGTACAGAGTCCCTGGTAATACCAACTTCATAAAATTATTGGGAGGAGTAAATTGAATAAGATTTATAAGCTGCTTAAAATAGTTCCTGACACATAGCAAAGCTACAGTAAATGTTAATACTGATAGTTGTTACACCACATTTTTTCTCTACTTTTAAAAGTTACCAAAATAAAACCATTTCCTCAGATTTTCAGGCAACATTTGGTATAGTAAAATTTTACTGTCAAAAGCCATGAGATTATTTCTTGAGATTCTTATGTTGGGTTAGTTGTCTATTGCCTGTCTTTTCAAAAAAAGAAAAGTCTCCTAGTTTTATCTAGATTTTTGTTCTTTTTAAAAGACTGTGCAAAAAAATAATTTCTTTAGGAAGCTATTGAAGGTATTGTTTATATTGGTTCTTTTAATGAGCTTTTTCTCTGGGATTATAACATTTTACTGCATACCTCATTACTAAGTTTAGAGTTTATATTCCTCATAGGATGGCCTATTGGAGTTTTTTAAGGATTAGGATAATATGGCCATTAGGGGGTAATTATTGGCTCATGGATATATGCATATGGAAGAAAGAAAATAGTAGGAACTTCATAATGTCTACAGAATTTGTGAAATACCGTTATGTCAGCTTTAACTCAAGTAACTGAATTTTAGAAAACATTGTTGGAAACATTTGTGTTTTTCTTGGTGTGGCTTTCCATAAGTTGGTACTTATTTAAAAGACCCATTTCTCAAACCTGCCTTACATGTTTTTTCCCCAACAGGGCATTCTTAGCAGGGTCACAGAACCTGTTAAGAATATTGTGCCACAATGGCTACAGAGCTACTTCAGCAGGAATGAAGATGTATGCAGCTGCTCAACAGCCAGGACAGAGCCACCACAGTGTCCAGTCAATCAAGATGAGAATGTGATCAATGATGATGAGGAGAGCGCTGATATTCATGATGGCAGAATCACTCCTGAGCCAACAGTCAGTAATATGGAAGGTAAATAGGATATGGATATTTTGTTATGAATGATAGGTTTCATGCCTTACTTTTCAATATTTTTATATTGTCTGACTGTGGTAAATTTAACTGGGTAGTAGGAGGAGGGTGGTGATCAGGTTCCAATTAGGTAACTTTCTCATTTATCAGCTTTTTTATTATAATGAAGGGAGGCTGATATATCAGTTAAGAGGGAAAGCTCTGATGTGAGACTTTGGGTTTGAATTTTCACACCAGCAATTGTTAGACACGTGGCTTGGGGCAAGAAAACCCCTTTTCTCCTCTGTATCCTCATAAATACTTTTGAAAACAGAAATGTGAAGCCCTTAGCATTGATCCTGGCACTAAGGGAGCTCTGTGTAAATGTTAGCGGTTACACAGACACTGTGATCATGCCTCCCACAGCACAGGAGTTTGGGTACGGCATAACTGCAGCTGGCTTCTGTCTTCTGTGCAGCATGCCAGTGGGGTCATTTCATTAATCTTATCATTGAGTGATTATCATGTTAAAGGCTTGAACGTTTTTTGGATCCACTTACAGCATTTTGGTGGGGATTACAAATAGTAAATAGCTTTGGTATAATCCATAAATATGGCATTTTGGAAATACCACTCTGTCATTTCATGTTAAATATTTTTTACAGCTCTATTGAGATCCATATCACACAGGCTAGAACTGATGCACTTAAAGTGTACGGTTCAGTACTTTTCAAGATTTCTTTGAACTATATTACCAACATCCACGTGAGGCTTCACTTGGTAGATCTCTAAGCTGTCTGCTTCCCTGTTGTTTTCATTCCTGGGCATCAAATGGGCCCGCAGTCTCTCTCTGTCCCTTGATTAGAGACTTGTAGTGTGCACCAGCATATATCCACAGGGACTGACACTCTCTCTTCCATCCTAGTGAGCATGCTTGTGAGGATTTACTAACTTGACGATTTAGTGTAGGTATCAGCAGAATGGAGAGTTTGTCATTTTACATCAGTAAAATGCTGTTTTGGTTTGTTTGCATTGTCCTTGAAATGAAATTAATTCAGTGTTTGCCAAGGTCAATTCCAACTCGATTTTATTCATTATATTACTAAGATTATAAAGGAGCTTTTCTGTTGCATGTGTATTATACACACCTTTTGTAAGTAACATCTACACTGAAGTTATTACGGGAAATGTCAAACTAGAAAATGTCCTTACAACAGTGAGGAGGATGGCTCATGAACCCCCATTGTCCGTTCTTCAGCTTCAAAGACACCCAACTTGCAGTTATCTCCTTTGCGCTGTTCCCATGCTCATGCACCCATCTTCCCACTCTGATTCCCCTGGTTATATGGAAACAAATTGTGAGCAGCTTTTTGATAACTAACTTCAAAAGCTTGGTAGCATTCCCTCCCCTCATTCTTGTCTTAGATCTAAATCCTACTCCTATCTGTCAATCACATAACTAGTGACTTAAAGTACCTCTTATACTCCCCAATATGTTAAATGTAGATCTCACTACATATCACATCACAGTTTCTTTACTCTGTGAAACATTACACTTGAATTTTTCAATGCATTCTCAAAACAACTTAGGCATATCTGCTCTTAAAGTAGCGCCAAATCGTTGGAAGCCTAAAATAATCAAGAAATAGCAGTCCTGAATGTTGTTTAGTAAAGATTAAGTTTACTAGTGTGACTTTTACATTAATAGTATCTGGAGCTGGAGGGTACTGTACTTTCTTCAAATAGCACAGTGGAGTAAGAACAGTTACAGAATCTGTGGCCCATTTCAACCCTGTTTTCTGCAGCTTTCTGCTGATGGACCTCCTTGTGCTGACTGTCTTAATGATGGTGAGCCATGGAGTGTCTCGGTTTTTCCAGCAGGCTCAGTGGAATGGATCGATGAGGAGAAATCATATAGTATTTGTCCTACATGACTGGCTTCTTTCACTTAGCCTAATGTCTTTAAGGTTCATCTATGTTGTAGCATATACCAGAATTTAGTTCCGTTTGAAGGCTGCATAATATTCCTTTGTATGTATATACCACATGTATTCACCTGTCAGTGGACACTTAGATTGCATCTATTTTCTTGGCTATTATGAATAATGCTGTTAGGAACATGGTTGTATAAATCTCTTTCAGAACCTGCTTCTAGTTGTATACCCAGAAATGGAATTGCTGGTTTATATGGTAAGTTCGTTTTTAATATTGTGAGGAACTGACATACTGTTTTCCATAGAGGCTGTGCCATTTTACATGACTCATGATGTTGAACATCTTTTTCTACCAAGATTGCATACAAATTCCAGCTTCTACACATTCTGCCAACATTTGTTTTCTGCTTTCTGATAGTAGCTGTCCTAATGGGTATGAAGTGGTATCTGATTGTGATTTTGGTTTACATTTCTCTCCTGATTAGTGATGTTGAGCATCTTTTCATATGCTTGTTGGCCATTTGTTTATCATCTTTCAAGAAGTGTCTATTCAAGTTCTTTGCCCAGTTTTTAATCAAGCTATTTGAATTTTTTGTTTTGTGAATTGTAGGAATTCTTTATATTTTCTGATGTTAACCTCTTATTAGATATGTGATTTGCAAATATTTTCTACCATTCTGAGAGTTGCTTTCCACTCTGTTGATTGTGTCTTTTAGTGCACAAAAGTTTTTAAGTTTGATATAGTCCCATATGTCTGCTTTTGTTTTGTTGCCTGTCATGTCCACAAAAACATCATCAAGACCAATGTCATGAAGCTTCTCCCTTTGTTTTCTTCTCAGAGTTTTATAGTTTTGGGTCTTCCATTTATGTCTTCTATCCATTTTGAGTTAATGTTTGTATATTGTGTAAGATAAGGGTGCACTTTCATTCTTTTGCATGTGGATATCCAGTTTTCCCAAAGCCATCTGTTGAAGACACAGTCCTTTCCTGTTGAGTGGTACCCTTGTTGAAAAATAATTTGACCATATATGAGAGGGTTTATTTCTGGGCTGTGTATTTTATTCCATTTAATCTATTAACATGCTCAATTATGTTAACAATTTCCTGATGATGAATGATTCCTTGCATCCCTCAATTAACTCCGCAGTGAGTGTGATCCCAATCAAATAATTTTAACAGGTCTGTTAGGTAATTTGGACATAGTTAAATACCTATTTTAAAGCCTTTGCTAAGTACAGCACCTTGGCTATCTTGGGTTCAGTTTCTGTTGATTACTTCTTTTTCCTACTGTGGATCACATTTTTCTTTTTTTATGTATATCAAGGGGGTTTTTTTGTTTGTTTTTTACTAAATATTGTCATTTTGGATAGATAGGTAGAGTTTCTGGATCCTGTCGTATCCCTCTGAAGAGAACTGGTTCTTGTTTTAGCAGGCAGTTCTTAATGATCATTTTGAGTTTAGTTTTCTGCTTTGCTAATGTGTATCTATGTAAAGTCCAGGGTGTTCTTAAGTCCCGTAAAGCGGTGGGACTTAGCTTCCAAGCACTGTCCCCACTTTGCCTTCTGAGGGTGAGTCTACAGTAAGTAGACTCTGGATACTCACATGGGGCCTTCAGGAGGCCCCTTCTGGCACAGCTTTCTAATCCAGTGCCCTTAATTCTGATTTCTGCCTGCTGTGCTTTGCTTGGACTCCAGCTCTGTGCAACAGGTCTGAGATGTCTTATACAGAGAGCTAGGTAGCAATAGGGCTCACTGTGGGAGGTTTTTCTGTGCTTGTTCTATTGCCTGAAAGCTGTTGCTTCACATAGTTTGTCCAGTTTTACAGTTGTTTACATTAGAAGGGCTAGTCTGGGGCCCAGTTATTTTACGCTAACTGGAAGAGTGTTTTGGAAAGTTGACAAATGATTCAAAAGTTCTTGAAAATACACCTGAAAATGAATAGAGAAATTCTGAAAGAGAATAGGGGAATGTGGGCAATGTTGGAGGAACTTTTGCAGTCATTGAATGTGTTCTAAAGCTATAGAGTTTAAATCATTATGGAACTGGTACAGAAATACAAAGATATATCATTGGGAAAGCAGGGGAAAGCCTCTTGGAATTTAACACAGACGGTCCCCAACTTAACTAACAATCATTCAACTTATGATTTTTTTTACCTTGCTATGATACGAAAGTGATACACAGTAAGTGGAAACTGTACTTGAATTTTGAGTTTTGATCTTTTCCTAAGGTAGTGCCCTGTGGTAAGATACTCTGGTGATGCTGGGCAGCGGCCGTGAGCCTCAGCCCCCAGTCAGGTATGAGATCATGAGGGTAAACAATTGATACTCTGCAGTGTACTGCACTGCCAGTGGTTTTGGATATTGTGTTCTGAGTACCTTTAAAAAAGGCTGGGCTAAGGTATGATGTTTGGTAGGTTAGGTGTATTAAATGCATTTTCCACTTAAGGATGTTTTCAAATTTCAGTGGGTTTATCTGGATGTAACCCCCACCCATCATATGTCAAGAAGCACCTGTTTGTGAACTGAGTAAAATGTTTCATTTCTTAGAGTCTTGGAATGCTAACAAGTATCTGTAAACAAGGTACAAGTTATTTTCTGAGTTGCAAAAGACACCATCAAAAAAAATGAATGGGTACAACCAACAGTGAAAATTTTGTGATACTTTAGATCATCTCACCCTGATTTACTGAAAAAGAAATTACATCTCAGTAATCTTCTTAGTATCTAGATCAGTAAGCAACTAAGAAGAGAAGAGATATAAATGACCAATGAATATAGTAGGGAAGGATGGTGAATATCCCTGTCATTTAAGTAAGTGCAGATTATATAGTGATACTTTTGACATATTATATTGACAGAAATCAGAAAGGGTTAATATCAAGTGAGAGCATGGGGGCAGTGTACATTGTCATTTGCTATTTGTAGGAGTATAACGACAGGAAATCTTTGGATCACAGTATCTCTCATAGGCAAAAATGGGCATTCACTCTGATCCAGTATGTCAGAGCAATTCCACATATAATTATTTTCTCATTAAATCTCAGGATACCTCTGACTACTTAGGTTGTTTTATGGGCCCAACTTCA